ACGAATGAAGGTCCACTTCTAGTTTTAATTTTCTTTTAGTCATATACAGTACCCTGTACAGATCCTAAGAGTAGTTGGACAGGTTCTAACGCATGCGTACACCTGTGGTAACCAGCTGCCTCCCTAAAAAGTTACCTCACGTTCCTTTGCATTCTGCCCTCCTCTTCCTGCAGAAGTGACCCCATTCTGATTTTATTTGCATAAATTATTTTTTACTTGTCTTACTAATTTTTTTAAATTTTTACTTGTCTTGAAAACATATAGTACCAATATTTAGTCTTAATGTACTTTAGTTTAAGGTTGTAAACATTTATTCAGTGCTTTCTGTGTGCCAGAATCTATGTTGTTGTTAGAAATATAAAAATGACTGTGCCAGAGTTGGCAGTGGGGATGTTAAGCTAGTTATTAGTAATTGCAAAGTCAGAGCAGGGCAAGCACCAGAAGAACCTGAGAGCATCCCAGGGATGCAGAAGAGGAAGAGGCCCTGGGCGCAAGAGGGGATCGCAGTGTTCCCATTGTCCTTGGAGGTAACAAACCCAGGTAGTAAACTTGGGCTGTTCTGGTCATTTGCCCTCTTCCTGCATATGTACAGGATTTCCTCATCACCCTGTCTGGGTCTGATGAAAGAGGGGCCCAGGGACATGGTGTGGAATGATTTCCTCCTGGGTACGAAGGCTGAGAGCTGTCGGGGAATGACGAGCTGTGCACGCAACGCCGCTCCTGCTGTCCAGCTCCCGCTTTCTGTCCAGTTGTGCCCACTGCTGTCCTCAGTGGGTTCAGACAGTCTAGCAGCCAAGTTCACACAATTCATTTCTACCAAGAAAAGCGGTGAATAGTTTGTTTTCTTTGTATTTCATTATATAATGAACATTATATAACGAACATCTTTTTTTTTTGCATTTTCTGTATTTTCTTTTGTTTTGAACATTTTCATATTATAAAAATTATTTGAAATCCTGACTCCTAGATATTGCATAAGTTAATGTATATGGTCATATGTAACTGTATATAATAGATGTAAATTCTATACTATGTATAATATTCTGTGTGTGTGTATGTATATCCAATTTGTCCAATTGACTAACTTTATAAGGTCAGTTAGGAAACGGTATTGAAAATAAAAAGATTAAGAGTTAAGTTTTCCTGGAACACCAAAGAAGATAAAATTACTAAAGGCTACTCTTTTTTCTTTTCTTCTCTTTTCTCTGTAGAACCATCCGAGTATGGCTGAAAAGAGACAGTGGTCAGTATTGGCCCAGCATTTACCACACAATGGCCTGTAAGTAGCTGAACTGTTGTTCCACTTGAGGAAAATGTCTCTAATGTCTTTGACTTATATTTCAAAATGTCTGATTAGAAATTGTTATTAGATTTCAGAATAAGTTTCTTAGTTGCCTAATACCTCCGACAGGCTGTAATAAACTACAGGAAAACTTTTCTTTTGCAAAGGAAGTTAGGTCTGCTGGCTTAACTGAAGCAAACTTGAGCAAAACGGGGGGGGGGGGAAGGTATGAGCCCCCTTCTCCCCTCATTAATTTGGCCAACTTATATTCATAGTAACTTTGTACTTAGTAGTAGCTGATATTGGCACTAAGAAAGGACTGGGTATATTCCCATATTCTTATGCCCAGCCTTTGCCCAACCTTCTCATAAACTCTGGGTACTATTGAGAGATGTGGTCTAAACAGAGAATTTTCTTAGTAGTCAGGGATGTTCTAAAAATAGATCTAGAAGATAAAGCATCTACGCTGAGACTTTAAGACAGCCTTGGGAAGAGGTCTTAACAATTGTTTGAGGTTCTGTTGGCACTGTTCACAGCTTTCTTAAAGGTATCCCAGAGTTATGGAGTTTGTTATAAACACAGAGTAACCAATTATTCTGTAAATTACATATAAACAGTTTGAGTCACCCTTCCAAGCACCTCCCCTCTTGGTTAGCATGTTCTTATTTGTTCATGTATTTCAGTGGCATGTAGTGTTTGGATTCAACAATGATTTTATTTTTCAAATTAGTTTTTAAAAATTTATTTATTACTTTTTTTTTTTACATTCTAAGATATGTGGAGCAGTGGGAGGGGGAGGGGACCCTGGCTCCTTCAATGGGCTGGATGTGGATTTGGTGGGGGTGGGGCATGGCTTAGGCCCACGGCCCCCCCCCCGCCATCTGGGTGGTTGGGGGGGTGGCAGGGCTGGGGGACTTCTAATGGCAGTTCAGTTCAATAATAATTTTAACAAAAAGTTAGTAGTTTATCAGGATTTTCATTAGTTCTGCCTTCTTCCAACACCTTGGGCAGGCTGGTCAATTCTGTCTAGATATCATTCAGTGAAAATGAAATAGTCTTTTTGGAGTACTGGTAAAGATCACTATTATAAAAGGAAAGATAAAACTTTACAATACATAGCCCATTAGAAGACTGCTTGAAAACCTGATCATAATTTATTGTGCCAAGCAGTAGTATCTCCTTGTTACTCATGTCTGCATGTACTGTTAATGCATAACCTTGATTTCTCATTCTGAATTCTTATCTCAAAATATGAATTGACTGATGTATTACCAAAGTATTAGCAATGTATTTCCTTGAAATATGAATTGACTGATGTATTACCAAAGTATTAGCAATGTATTTCCTTGAAATATGAATTGACTAATGTTAATGTACATATGGAGCCTGTTTGATAAATTTTCTTTGGAGATTTTGAAGCAGGGCATTCTGAATTCTTATCTCAAAATATGAATTGACTGATGTATTACCAAAGTATTAGCAATGTATTACCTTGAAATATGAATTGACTAATGTTAATGTACATATGGAGCCTGTTTGATAAATTTACTTTGGAGATTTTGAAGCAGGGCATAAGTGGGTGGGACACCCTGGGTCTCTGAGCCCACCCTTTACCTAACCAAAAAAAAAAAAAGGCTTTTGCTAGGCTGATAACTCCTTATTTCCCCATGGCCAAGTGATAGATCTGGTAACTAGAAGTAGCAACAGCCTGAAGAACTCATACCAGTGCTGGGGAGTGTTTTGTCCTCATTGTGGAAAATCTTGTTAATGCTGTTGCTGTTATTCCTCCCACCTTTCCCTTCCTCCATAGTTAATATTTTGGTCATAGCTTAATCTCCTTGGAGTTCATGCTTATTAAAATAGAGGCAAAGACTGAGATGGATTTTGTCCTATATTTAGTTCAGTTACCCCTCAGCTTGTATTTCCCCCAATATTTAGTACAACTTTGTAATTAACTTCTCTCCCAGGACACAAAAACCCTTGCAGTAGAATTGTGTGCACTCTCTGAGCTTTTCGATCTTGGGCAAGTGGATGTCGCTCTCTCTGTTCCCATCCCTCTCTAACTTGGGTTAACTGTCCCTTCCTGAAGTAGTTCCCAGCTCAGGAAGGAAGGACTGGAAAGAACAGCCACAGCGTCTCTGCAGTGGGTGGCTGACAGCTGCATGTTTGTATCTACACATGTTCAGCTTGTTGCTTCCAGATACTTCTTTATTGCTTCCATCTGGACCTGTATCTATGGATAAAACTGCAAGAACACTGACAGAGGAAAACAGAGTGAATGGATTATGAGAAATAACAGCCTGTATGTTTCAGAATGACTTTTATTTCAAAATTAATTCAAAGTACAGGAAGAAAAGTGCCATACTGGTTCTAAACACTATCTGCAGATTACCCAATTTAGGATGTTTTAGTGGTTATCTGCCAATTTAAACTTTTTCCTGTGACCTGACCAGTAAGCCAAACGTTTAGTATATTGCCATATGTAGTCCAATTATGTTCCCTGACATTACCTCACCTAACAGAAATAACTTTCAGAATCTGCTTTAGCCAAAGAGAAATGGCAACCCTTAGTTTCTGTATCTACTATGTGCCTCATGCCTTTTTTGTAATATAATTTTATGAAAGTACCACAACTGCTGTGCAAAGTAGATGATATTTTTACCATTTTGTGGATGAGGAAACTGAGGTCCCAGGGGTTAATTGATTGCTTCTGGTTAGAATTCCAAACCACGCCTGTCTATGATTCCAAAACTATGCTACCCACCACAGTTATGGGGTGGGTTTACACATTTTTTATGCAAAGGGCCAGACAGTAAATATTTAGACTTTGTGGGCCATACCTCTCTGTAGCAGCTATTCAACTCTACCATTGTAGCATGAAAGCAATCATCAATGATACGTCAGTGAAGTGGTCTGGCTGTGTTCCCGAAGAACAAAAAGACTTTATTAACAAAACATGCAGCAGGCTGGATTTGGCCCTCTGTTCTGATCCAGAGTTTTAAGCATATAATTTTGGACTGCAGTGATGCCTTTTTAAAAGTCCATTGAATCTCAAAATATGATTTGTATTTTGCTTGTTTATAAAACTGACTATACAGTCCCTCCCCTTCTTTTTAAAATTTAGACTACTTATCCCAATAGAAACCTCCCTTCTAGGAAAAAAGCCAGGAAATCATTATATACAAAACAAACTAGGGATTTTTTTTTTTAAATGTTAAAATTCTCCAGCCTCATAAAATTACCTAGCACATTGTAATTTTTACACAAAGGAGGGATTTTACATATTTATGTAGTTTGTTATAGGGTTGGGTATAAAAAGAATTGAAAAGAAGCTTAAAACTTAGCGCATTAAAGGGGCTGGCTGGTTAGCTCAGAGCATGGTGTTATAACACCAAGATCAAGGGTTCAGATCCCCGTACAGGCCAACATTTAGTACCAACTGAGAAGAGCAAGCAAAAATGATGACAATTAATCTTTGAAATCATCAAAGCATAATTAAAGAGCATTTTTATTGTATAAAGATATATATGTATCTTTGTGGTTATAATTCTTAGACATGATTGTCCTTTATAATCTCAAAGATCAGTATAGTGGATGAGGATGTATAGGCTTGTAGTCAATTCTACTTGTTTTGTGTTCAATTTTGGTACTTACCTCTCAACTACATAGTTCTTGAATGCAACTGAAACAGTCTCTCTGTATGGTCTGATCATGTTGTTAGCTGTGTTTTTGCCTTTTGGTATAATCCGGTATTACAGTTTACTTTCTTCCTTTGGTGAAGAATATCAGCCCATTGTAGAGAGAGAACTTTAAACTATTTTCAAATGGTGACTTCACTTAGAAGATGCTTTTTCTTTTACTTTTTTGTTTGTTTGCTAATTAACAATGTGTTTAGAACTACCTCTTTATTAGTCAAAGTTTAAAGCATAAATCGAAATTTCCAACTTCTTGTGCATGTTGAAAGCTTAAAGTAAAGATCCTGATATTGATTTTTTTTTTCCTTTATATTTTTGGTGACTGGCCAGTGTGGGGATCCGAACCCTTAGCCTAGGTGTTGTAACTCTAACCAACTGAGCTAACTGGCCAGCTTAGATCCTGGGATCCAAAATATGGTCCAAGTGGCTCAAAATTAATTCTGTGATATAGTGTTATTCTACAATCATACTTAGTTTGAAAGCCTAAAGTTTTCTTATGGCTATAAAAATACCACCAAGTTGAAAATTTTTATTTTGCTAAGATATACAAATAGAGTTAATAGAATAGTCCACACCTTCTGTAATTTCTAAACATTTAACCATCAGAGGGTCTGAGATGCTGTTGTCCTTCATAGTTCATAGAAAGTTCAGATGACTGATTTTCTGTGAAAGCCTGACTTTTCTTCCTTTTTACCCACAAAATTAATTTGTCTTTTCAGAAGTCTTGCTGGATGTTTTCTTTGTCTGTCTGCCTCTCCATGTTGTTGCTTAATTAGAGAGATTTCGTTTTCTAGTTGGACAATAGTCTGCTTAGTCTCCTAATTCTTACTAACCAGAGAATCCAATTCGACTCCATTTCTCTCAGCATAGATCCAGCAGTGAGTTGCGTGTTCTTTCACTGCTGGTTTAAATCCTGAATATGTTTCCTTAACTTCTGAAGCTCTTTTTCTGTGTGTGTTTAACCACATGAACAATATTTTCATTATATATTTTCCAGGCATTAAGCCTATGCTGTGACATTATTTCCAGATTGTCGTTTTGAACTGCTCGATGTTGTAACTGGACATGGAATTGTTTACACATTCTCACCATGCAGTAATGTCCTTTTTCTGATCCGAGGAAGGGGCTGGAAGCTCGTATGGTTTCATACTGAGTAATTCAATTGGTTGTCAAGCAACCAGTCTTTCAGATTCATTTCTCCTTATGTCAGTTTCAAAAGCAGAATAATCCGGGGCTGTCAGGTAGCTCAGGTAGTTCTTCGTAGGTCAGTATCTGCAAGTTTCTTCCTCCACCAGTGCCACAGCTGCTTCTCACACAGCAGGAGCTTCAGAACCTTGATCAAAACACGGCACACATCAACCGTAGCCTCTCTGGCCACCAAATCTGTGCCCGCCATTCTCTTTCTTTTACTTTTTTATGAGTTGTATTTCAAAGTAAACTCAAGTTCATTTGTTTTGGTTTTGTTTCCTGGCATGCATTTCCTTGTTGCGGTTCTTTCATTGTTAATTAAAATTCTGTAAGTTGAAATGAAGCCCAAAATTTCTTTTTCCAAGTGTTCCATTTTATAAATCACTTCAATTCTGATTTTTAGCAGAAGGAGACAATTTAGAGTTTCTCCTTTCTGAAACTTGTTCTCTGGCCCATGATTTCTGGAAGAATAGTAGGTAGGACATGGAAGGGGTGTGTACATGAGAAGAGGCAGATGCTATCCCAGGCACGTCATGCTGCTGTGGACAAGGAAACCTGTCTACACCTCACAACTCTTGTTACTACAAACTCGGTTCTGTGTGTCACTGCAAAAGGGAGCATTTTTTGATCTTTGGGGAGAAAAAGTAATCCCATGGTGGCTTTCCCAGCTTGCTCACATATGCCATGAAATTGGAATTCCGGTGCTGGGAACCCCTCTTTCCACAGATTCCAGCTACTCATTGACTTCTGATGGGGAAGGGTGGCAGGGGCAGGGTGACCGACTGAGCATGTGGGTAGCAGATCACCCCCCTGTAAGCACTCTTTTTAATAGTAATGTACTTTGAACAATGACTTAAAGTGCTTAGCTTTGCTCATAATGTGGTCTTTGTCTTTCTGGCAGCTCCCTGCTCTGCAATGGCCTACCATCATGATAGCAGACGGATATTTGTGGGCCAGGATAATGGAGCCATAATGGTAGGTAGCTTCTAGAAGGTACTCATTAAATTCTTTATATGGATCCCCCGATGGTCACTTATGTTGGACCGTTTAAATAAAGCTAATGGATGCCTGATTGTTTGGCATAAAAAATCTTTTAATTCAGTGTAAATGTTAAGCCTGTAAATGGATTAATTTTAATTAGTGCTTAATTTTAAACTAGTTCCGTGGAGCTTAGAATGCTGTCATGATTGATGGCTTGGTGCTCGGGCTGGCCTGCAAAGCACAGCCTTCATACAGTGAGTATGAGAGCCGTAGCAGCCCCCATCCCTCAGCCGTGATGGTAGAGAGCCTTTATCACTCTGAGTGTGTGTGTGAAAGACAGGAGCGGGAGGGAGACCAAGGTTAGGGACTAGCCATAGGGCCAAGAACTCATATAACTCTTTAGGGCAGTGCTTCTCACACTATCTTTATGTAGGACCAAATATTAAAATTTTCAATCTGTTATTGACTGGTATGTTTTATGGTTCCTATTATGTATATATATTTATTTTTTTTCTCAATTGATATATAATTCATATACCATGATATTCACCATTTTAAAGTGTATAATTCAGTGGTTCTGTAATATATTCATAAGATTGTGCAATCATTACCACTCTCTAATTTTGGAGCATTTTCATCACTCTTCAGAAAAACCCCTTACCCATCAGCAGTCACTCCCCCTTCCTCTCCCTTCTCCCTTCCTCCAGCCCCTGGCAATCGCTAATCTACTCTCTGAGTCCAGGAATTTGCCTGTTCTAGACATTTTATGTAAATAGAATCATGCAATATGTGTGGTCTTTTATGTCCTATATTCTATCAGTTGGCATAGTGTTTTCAAGGTTCATCCATGTGGTAGCTTGAATGAGTTACTTCATTTCTTTTTGTGGTGGAATAGTATTCCGTCATATAGACGTACCACACTTTGTTTATCCATTCATTAGCTGATGGACATTTGGGTTGTCTCCATTTTTTGGCTATTGTGAATAATGCTATTATGAACATTCAGGTATAAGCTTTTGTGTGAACATACGTTTTCAATTTTCTTGTGTATATATACCTAGAAGTGGAATTGCTGGGTCATATGGTAACTATATTTAACTTTTGAGGAACCACCAAACAGTTTTCCAAAGTGGCTGTACCATTTTATATTGCCACCAGCAATCTATGAGAATTCTAGTTTTTCACATCATTGCCAACACTTGTTATCTTTGTTTTGTTTTTCTTTATTGTGTTTTTATTATGGCCATCCTAGTGGTACCTCATTGTGGTTTTGATTTGCATTTCCTTAGTGACTGGTGACATTGAACATCTTCTCATATGCTTGTTGGTCATTTGAGTATTTTCTTGGGAGAAGTATCTATTTAAGTCCTTTGTCCATTTTTAGCTGGGTTATTTGTTTTTTTATTGTTGAGTTTTAAGAATTTTTTCCATATGCTCGATACTAAACTCTTATCAGATACATGATTTTCAAATATTTTCTCCCATTTTAAGGGTTGTCTTTTCTCTTTATTTAAGTTTGATGAAGTCCAACTTATCTGTTTTTTCTTTTATGGTTGCTTGTGCTTTAGATATCATATCTAAGAAACCATTGCTTAATCCAAGGTCATTTATGTAAATCTTTATAGGTATAAATGAGGCTTATATCTATGTTTTCTTTTAAGAGTTTTATAGTTTAGCTTTCACATTTAGATCTTTGATCCATTGTGAGTTAATTTTTATATATGAGGGAGGGTTCCGTCTTCATTTTTTTGCATGTGGATATCCAGTTATCCCAGCACCATTTGTTGAAAAGACTATTCTTTCTCCATTGAAATTTCTTGGCACCGTTGACACTATGCCAGCCAGGCAGAGAGCCAGGGAAGCTTCCAGAAGTGAATGTTTTGTGAAGACTTGAGGTGGGAAGGGTCTATGTGTGTTTAAGGACTTGGAGGGGGTTATCCTGGCTTAATGATACTGAGCAACAGGGAGAGATGCCAGGGGCTATTGGAGAAGTGGGCAGTGGCCTGGTTCTGCAGGGCCTTGTAGGCCTGGGTAAAGTTTTAAATTCCATTGTAAATGCAATGAGACACTACTGAAGGGTTCCAGCAGAAGAATGACATGATATAATTTATATTTTTTAAAGATCCCTCTAGCTGCTTGGTGGGGAGTAGATTGAGGGGCAGCAGGAGGGGCAGTGGGAGAGGTGGGCTGCTGTAGCCGTCTGGGTGAGAGGACGGGGGCAGTGAAGATGGGCAGAAGTGGGTGGATTTTACGTACATCTGGATCCAACTGTGATAGCTTGAGTGTGGGAGAGGAGGAAGAAGAAGTAGTTAGGTGACAGCCAGGGTTTTGGCTTGAGCAACTGGGTAGATAGTGGTATCATTTACTAGGAAGGGAAAGGCTTGGGGTGGGGAGTGGACAGTTGTGGGGAAAAGGGACAAGGAGGAATCACCGTATGTTGGTATGAGATACTAGTGAGACATCCAAATGGCTATGCGAGGTTGGCTGGATATGCAAACCTGGAGCCTGGGGGGAGGCCTGGGCAGGGAAGTCATCAGCATGCAGGCCATTTTCAAGCCATAGGAATGACTGATCACTTGGGGAGAGAATGAGAGAAGACAGTGCCCAGACCTGAGTCCTGAAATAACTCTGACATTCAAGAGTGGGGTTGAAGGGGAAGCCAGCCAGGGAAAAAGGGGAAATGATGATCCCTGAGTGTGACCTTAAGGAGCTTAGACTGACTCACATTAGTCGAGTTTCCCAAGATTGCACAGTCATGCAAATCATTTAGGGAATTTACTGAAATACAGATTCCCTAGCTCCGTGCCAGACCCACAGCTTCAGAGTTAGCTGGGAATCTGTATTTTCGGGAAGTCCTTGAGGTGAGCCTTAGGATCAAGTGCTCTAGGGCATCACTGCCCAGCATGAAGTAGGGGATGGTGGAGTGGTCAGGTTTCTGAGTTTTGTTAGCTCGATGTGCCAGTGCATGGGAGATGGGCTCAAGGGGCAAGGCTGAAAGTGGGCATGCCAGTTCGGAGGCTGTTTCAGGAACCCAACAGGAGACTGCAGAACCATGGAGAAGAGGTGATGCTCCAAGAACTGTCTGGGAAGCAGGGCTCAATGTTTGATTAAATGTGAGTGTTAAAACAGAGATGGGTGTGTTGAGATAGAGAATATCATGTTAAGATGACTTTCACATTTCTAGCCAGGAGGTTAGCTGCCCTATAAGACAAGATGCTGCAATAGAGGGGAAAGGTGATGAGTTCAGTTTTGTATTTTGGGTTTGTTTTGTTTTTTACAAAGGCGTTAGTCTCCTTGTCAGTATCACTGATACTCCATGGTGCACACTTGCCAGTAGTTCCCCTCTTCTCACAGTGGTTGATGTGCAGTCTCACTTATGGGCCTGGGGGAGCAGGTGGGGACTCTCCCAGGGCAGGAACAGGTGTGAGTGAGTGGGTGGCTGTCGAAGTGGAGTTGGGGGGAGGGCCCCACAGTCCTTATTTTTAGTTTTTCATTGGTTGATGATTCTCCATTCAGATTCGTTCCTGGCTGCCCAGGGAGAGGGGACCATGCAGCTCAGAGCAGGGCAGGGGAGGAAGGGAAGGGAAAGCAGCAGGCTGCCTGGGGGAGGGGGGCATGGCAACAAAGGGAGGGGGCTGGGGTGGCTCCTGGGGTAAGGCAAAACCCTGCCTTTGGCTCTCCTGGTGAGGAGTTTCCTTCCCTGCACCCCTTCCCTGGCCCCTCATCCCACCCCCAACGTCCCCTCCCCCAAGACCTACAACACACAGTCCTGGGAGCCAGAGACACCTTTTGGGGTCCCTGAAACAAGTGGCCTCAGTCATCCAACCCAGCGCTGCAGGGGCTTGGAGGAGGGACAGAGGCAAGCCCCACCCAAGGAAAAATCAGAGATTGAAGGATGGGCAGGGGCTTGCCCTGGACAAGGGGGCGGGGAGAAGACCCCTGTCCCAGAGAGCTGGGTCCCCCTTCCAAGGCCTGGAAGGAGGGGAGCGCCTGAGAGCTCCTGCTTCCTTTTTGGAGTCTGGCCGGCTGGGCCCAGTTGCTTGCCAAGTGACTAGTATATTGTGCTTCGGGATCAACGCTGGGGTAGGACATCGGGCCAGGAGGAGGGTTGGGCCAGAAGGGTCGGGAGGTGCGATAAAGGTGCTTGTGCTTTAGGTGGGAATGTTGACTCCCCCCAACACCGTCATACTGGCTGGGGGCTAAGGTGCTGGGGCCAGCCAAGAAAACAGAGCAAGTTCAGTGTGACAGTTGGGTGCATGAGCATGAACCTCAGGGGTTTGGTCTGGGCTGGGGGTTGGGAGTGCTGAGTATTGTTGTCAGTGGAAACTACAACAGTGGCTGACGTGAACTGGGCATAGTGGGTAGATCGAGAAGGGCAGAGGGCCAAGGTCACATTCCCTGGGGAATATCAACATTTAAGGGAAAGTCAGAGGACTGGGAGCCCACAGGAGAGACAGACAGAATGGGCACAGTGTGAGGAGGGCCAGTCAGGACAGTGCGGCCTGGGAACCCGGAGGGGCAGTGAATTTCAGGGAGGGTGAGTAACAGCAGAGAGAGGACAAGACCAGGACTGGAACGTGACCGTTGGGATGGCAGGGGGAGCCCTTCCAGGTGGTGGAGCTGTGGAGTGCAGCGGACTGAGGGGTGACCAGGAGGTGAGGAGCAGAGAGCCTGAGGGTAGCCAGTGTGGGCTCATCTTTAGAGAAGGTGTTGGCTGAGAAGGGGAAAGGAAAGTTGTAATGTAGTTAAAAGAGTTTCCTTGTTGTTTTGGTTTGTTTTTAAAATTAAAGACAATGACTTGATTTTGTTTGAGGACCAAGAAGAAAGAGGCAGGAGAAAGGACAGGCTTCTGCCCAAGCAGCTCACCCGGTCGTATCTACCAAGGGCGGCTGTTAAGTACACAATGAGTAGTGGATTCTTTTTCTACTTCTCCTGGACATTTTATAGGAATGTCATGATGATGTGCACACACATGTATAACAAGAAGCCATGAGTGCATCTTTAGTTTCCCCAGTGATGGCCGTGTTCCTGCGTTCATCTCTCTGAAGACCCTTCCAGTGGCTCTTAGTTCAAGGGTAGACTCTGGTTGTAGGATGGCACATAAAAGCTCTTGTAGCTCTCCACTGGAAAGGTGCAATGCCAGTCCAATTTAGTATTAGTTAACAATTGATCTGTTCATCTTCCAACTAATACAGTTTAATATATAATACTGCTACATTCTTGTACTTTGCAAAAACAAGATGGAGAACAAGAAATCTGTATTCCCTTGTGTGTGCATATTTCTTTTCTCTGGTCCTTCAACAATCCAAAATGTCCATGTTACCTAGAGCCTTAAGAACTTATCAATTTAGTACTGATTAATAGAATTCTTAATTAATGCTTTTTCTTTAGAGTTTTGTTTTATTGTCTCAGTTTCATGCTGAGGCTTATTTTTTCATTAAAATGTATGTACTTTTAATTTTTTCCAAGTTATAGAGTATTACACAGTCTATAGAAAATTTGGAAAATTCAGGAGTATAAAAAGATGATAAAAACCACCCACGATGTCTAAATTTCCTTTTGCGTGTATGTGTTTGTATATTAAATATGTATAATTTTCCCATTAAATTGTTGAAATACCCAATGCCTTATTTTTATAGTAGCTGAGAATGGACTCTGTTAGTAATGGGTCTTTGCTTTATATACATCATCTCAAAGGATTTTTTATGTAGCCAAGAGAACAGAATTAACAAAACTTTGCAGTCTGGGGGAAGGGAATATAAAGCACTCACTTGTCGAAGAAGAACTGGACAAAAATGCCATGCTGGTCACGGCTCTTTCTTCATTCGATTCGGTCTGGTCCCCCAGAGAAATGATGGCCTGAGGAAAGGTCTGATGAAAGAAGCAATTCATACCATCCTTGAACAGCTCAGCGAAGTCCCAGGTCTTGTGATGACCCATTGTGGATTTTATTTTGTTTCAAAAGTTAAGTTCCTGTTGTTTTTAAAACCTGTTTTCTTACTGCATCCATTTATATTTTAGGAATTTCATGTTTCTGAAGATTTTAATAAAATGAACTTTATCAAGACCTACCCAGGTAATTATAATACACAGGCACACACTCTTGCATATGTACATGTAGGTATACACATAAAAAACTAGAACATCATCTCTCATGAGTAAAATTAGGTTTTCACATTAACTTTTTAGTTTTGTTATATCAACTATGAGAGAGACAATTAACTTTTCAGAGATATTTGACATCCTTTTCCTACTCATTAACATTAAAAATTCTGTATCTCGCATATGTATATCAGATTTAATTTAACCATTCTTCTATTATTGGACATGTGTACGGCTGGCCATATGATGATCCGATCCCTTGACCTTGGTGTTAACAACACTGTGCTGTAACCAGCTGAGCTAACTGGCCAGCCCTGCTTCCATTTTTTGCTAACACACACTATTTTATTTATACATATGTATGTATCTGTGAGTGTGTGTATAATTTATAGATATATATACACACACTAACTAATCCTGTAATTCTGGTCACCTGTATTTAAGACAAATTTCCACAAATGGAGTAACTAGGTAAAACATTAAAAAAAATTGTTTAATGCTCTAGATTTATTTTGCAAACTGCTTCACAGCAATAGTGTAAAAATACTGTAAACTTTTACAGCATCATGAGTAGTGGCTGAGAGTGCCTGCTCATTAAGTCTTCAAAACATTGCTGCCTTATAATTTTTTTTTTGCCAACTTGATAGTCAAAAAAGTTCTCAATTTGGAAATTATTTAAGCTTTATTTAATGTCTATCATTTGTCATCTTTTATGAAGGGAGTTGTAGTGTTTTCTAATTGAATTATAAGCTTTCACTGCAAAGCTGTCAGTGCTTTGGAACATCTGTGGCATATACATTTTTCCCAGTTGTTACTTTGCCTTGCAAATTAAGATATTTTTAAACTTAACAAAAGCAAGTTCCTAATGCTAACTTTAGATTGAAATTGCAAAAACCAAAGTGGTTTCATTAAGTTGTGAATTCCCATCAGATGATTTAACTGATTCTCAGAAACTTTGCCTGAAGGCATAACAGTTAGCCTCATTTTATTCACCCTATATTTCTAAAATTTTATATTTCATGCTTGTGGATAAAGGTGAAAATTAGAGTCTAGATGTTTACAGTATATGTAGTTCATCTTGGTGAAATTTGATGTAATAGTAGGATACAGAAAAGAGATTTTTGAACTTTAATAAGAAGGCCAAATTGCTTCTCCCTAGATCTTGTTTCACCTGTTCCAAATTTAAAATAGGAGAAAGTGATGCGACAATAACCATACATTTGAACTTGGATTATGTTGGTCAGGGAAACTGTTTTGTGACAGTGAATGATAACAGTTTGCAATCTTGCATTGTTGAATAATGTATAAACACTGCAGTGTTATTACAGCAACAGAAACAACTTTGAATTCTCAGGTACCACTTGCAGCCTTATCTTTAAAATAATCAAGAATTCGTAAGTTCATTTATGAAATATATACCTAGGAATTTGGAGACTTTTTATATGCCTGATGACTTTTTTTTAAAAAAAGTAAATTCCTTAATAAATTATTGTATTTATCATTAAGTTCTTTATTAAATTATTTCATATTTATATGTCTTATGTTGTTTACACCTATATTTTGGTTGTCAAAATTTTTTATGGGCAATAGAATAGCATAGTTCTTATAGTGTTTACCAGACCTTTGCACTTCATTGACTAATAACATTTTTAAAAATGTTTGGAGGACTAATATAGGGATTGCCAAATTTTTTATTTTGCCAAGTGAGAGATTTTAAAAAATAAAAATGAAGCAAAAAAAAAAAAAAAAAGCATATTGGACCATAATTTTATAAAAGAAAGGACACCTGAAAAACAAAACAGCAGAAAGGATATAATCTTAGGAAGAGGATAGTTCTTCCCCCTGCAAAAAAGATAGTTGACTACTTAGTCCAGCATCTTTACCACCAACTAGTATAAATCTTGTCTCTGTCCTGAGTTTGACAACTGCAGGTTTAGTGGGAAAAGCGTTTGGGCTCAGACAGACCAAGCTAATCTATACCTTATTAGACTTTGGTCATGTATTTAATGTGTTTAATGTTTGTTTCTGAGTTTTATTATCTGAAAATGGGCATAATACACAACCTGTAAGTGTTCAAATTAAAAATATTATTAAAGAAGAAAAAGCACTAAGCCTCACATTAGTCACCTAGTCAGGTCTTAGCTGATGGTACTTCTTGTTAGCTGAGACTTGGTTTACTTGAATTTAAGATTAATAGCTATTAGAGCACCCTGTAAGTTTCAGGATCCTTCATGAGTATTTAATTGTTAGTGTAACCTCCTAGCAGTGGATGAATCTGACCTTTTCAGAGACTTTTGGAGAGAGTCCCTCAGTTCTTCCGAAGTAGCTAAGAGCAAGATCAGTGGTTTCTCTGTCTAGCTTCTGACTTCATTCCGCAGATTGGGCATTTATTAAACACCTACTGCATGCAAGGTCCTGTACCAGATGAAGTAGAAGGCAGGTCACCACCCTGGTGTGGCTTATAGATGACTTGGAAATATTTCAGAAGTTAGGTGATAGAATGCCTTCCTCATTATCAGCTATCATTTTGAAATAGAGAACTTCACAAATATTTTGTTTTTATAAATAATAAACGGTTATAAACAAACAAAAATTATTCCAGAAACAAAATGCTTAACACTATTTTTAATTTTAGAAAAGTACAGTTGGGAACACTTACTCTATTTTATGGAATGAAGAGTTGCCCAATTCTAGAATTGCAATAAAACCAGATAAAAAAAATTGCAGTCTCTTTTATTTACAATGCCAGTGTTTTCTAAAGGGTCAAACCTCTAAAGTTTTAGATTAAAAAAAAAAAATTACTCTGTTAAGAAAAGACTGCTGCTCTGCTGCTTCCCATATGGAACTCATCAATAGTTAAGGTTTTTCAGAGCAAAATAAAAAATGTTCTCCTGAGCCTAGCAAAAAACAAACAAACAAATTCTATTTCTGATTGTTATTCATATCCCTCCTGAGCATTGCTCTTTAATGATTTGTAGCTTCTGACAGCCTTTTGCATGGGGAGGCGGAGAGGCAGGGCCTTGGACAGAGTGTAGGGACCAGACAGTCTGCTCACAGGGGGCAGGTATTTCCATGATATAACTGTTTGGATGTGCACAAGAGTACAGGCCGACTAGATTGTGAAGCTGAGCCTCAGTTTCTGTCTTGAGAGAGTTTCTGTGTTTCTGGAAATCATGTTTCTTCCTGAAGGGCACAGACTGTCCCTTTCTGTTCCTGCAGCTCATCAGAACAGGGTGTCTGCGATTATCTTCAGCCTGTCCACAGAGTGGGTGATCAGCACCGGCCACGACAAGTGTGTCAGCTGGATGTGCACCCGCAGTGGGAACATGCTCGGGCGGCGCTTCTTCACTTCCTGGGCTTCGTGCTTACAGTATCCTTCAAAGTGCTGGGCCTCCCTTCCCAATACCTCTTTCTCTTAATATTTAGTTTAGAATCTGATCATAAACTGTTAATTGAGAATTGAGATCTGAAGAATGAATGAATTCTACATATTTCACCTAAAGTCCAAGAATTTCTGTATCTGCTCTTTTTTGGTAAAAAATGAGTTTATTAAAATAATAAATGAATTGCTGTTCTCTGCTGGGAAGTTTTATAGGTTTGTTTTTGTTTTTTGTAGTTTTCTTTTTTGGGGGCAGCTGGCCAGTACTGGGATCTGAACCCTTGAGCTTGGTGTTTTCAGTACCATGCTCTAACCAGCTGAGCTAACCAGCCAGCCCACTATAGGTTTTTAATACAAAATTGTGGAAATCCCAAGCCTCATTAATGCATACCCCTCTCCTCATTCCTTTGCATTTCAAATTGAAAGGCTTTTTATTGCATGAAAAAAGAATACAAAATTGTGGAAATCCCAAGCCTCATTAATGCATACCCCTCTCCTCATTCCTTTGCAATTCAAATTGAAAGGCTTTTTATTGCATGAAAAAAAAAACAGGCATTGATCATCTAGTAATTGGTTACTTGCAGACCCTGTAAGAAAATATACCATATAGTAGGCCCTGGGGTTCATAAATGAGCTACAAGGAGTTTTATGCAAAACTTCTGTTTAATGCTTTTTGTGTGTGTCGTGAGGGCCCGTAATCCTTATAATACTCTCAAAGATGCCTCAGGAGCTCCAAAAATGTTAAAAATTACTGCCCTGAAAATTTCCTACTACTATGTGGAATTTGTTATCATATAAAACTCACCCTTGCTTAAGTCTAGCTCTGGTTGCTGTGTATCTTAGTGATGGCAAGATCAAGACTGTGAGCAACAGGCAAATACTCCACAGTAGTTTCTCTGTCTGGCCTTGTAAAATTCTTTTTTTCCATTGATAGCCTTTTTGTAAAATGTTTGCTATAAATGGATGCATAGCATGGAATATTCAAAATAAGCATTTAAAATAGTATCATGCACTTCAGGATCAAACAAGGAAAAAATACTGAGATACACTATGTGCTGAATAAGTGTTTCTGTTAAGCACTAGGCCTCTCACAATGGATTTATAGAAAATGGCACGGAATCATGTAGTCAGGGCTCAGCTTGCGGTGCGCCTTTTCGCCCGTGTTTTGGAATAATAGTAGTTATCCCATTGTAAATAGTAGTTATCTTGTTGTGTATAAATTACTGGTTTTCCACAAATTTCTCTGACCACAAACTGAGAAAGTACTGAGTTGTTAGCAATAGTTAATATATTTTTAAAATTTAAATTTACTATTATCACAAATAACTGCCTTTTGGATTATTAAGCTGTCCACAGTAATTTAAAGTAAATCGTCCTCTTAATTTAAAGATAAATCATTTAGGCTGAAAGGAAGATGGTTCATTTCCTGTATTTACTGTCAGTTTTACTTTATTTTCAGACATATTTCATAGATAGCCACTTTGTTCTAGTACTTCCTTGCTTTTTTCATTATTTAGCAATTTTACTCTGTTAAACTTTATTATAACTTGATCATAACTACCTGTTTTCATGTCTATCTTCTCGGCCAGCTCTTAACTTTTTTATTGCCAGTTCCCAGGATATTGCTTGGTATAGTAACAGGCACTCAATGAATAATCGTTGAATAAATAAATACTAATTTTCCCAGTAATTTTAGCTGTCTTAATTTTTTTTCCTTCAATATTTACATATTGTGTGATGGTCAGTTGAGTATTTCCTTTTTGTTATAGTTTTAGGGTTGTGCTTATTCTCTTTCAAATGCATGGGAGGATTTTGAGATGGATTCTGTTATATACCTTTGACTGTTTCTCCTCAGATATGACTTTGATACTCAGTATGCTTTTGTTGGTGACTATTCTGGACAGATCACCCTACTGAAGCTTGAACAGGACACCTGTTCAGTTATCACAACCCTCAAAGGACATGAAGGTAGGCTGTGTAATCACCCAACAGATTTTCACCTAATTTGGACATCCAAATTCTGTTCTCAGCTTTGTGGTTTCATGAATGATCAACTTCTCATGATCTTTCAGATTTCAATTTGATTAGCCAGAGGTGGTATTTAGAGTGAAAATTAAAAGAAGATAGCGCGTTGGGTTTAGTTTCTTGTTGTCAAAATTCCTTTCAGATTGCTTGTATGGATAATACTTTCTGTGTTGCTTATCTTTTTAAATTAAATATTGTTTCTGAAGACCTTTAAAATTTCTTGTAAATGGTAAGACCTTTGGAAGAATTGTTATTATTATCATTATTATTACTAATACTATTTTTAATTTATCAGTTTCTAGGACACTGAGCAAGACCTGATAGATCAGGATAACCAGAAGAAATGTATGGGCTAGTTCAGCCTTTAGTTGGGAAACATACCCTGGATAGGGACTGAAGGAAGAAAATTATTGAGTGGAATTTCATTATTTCTATAGTGCACTGAGTTGGCAAACCTCTGTGGAGGGGCCTTAAAATTCCATTAGCTGTATTGAGTAACTCGCCATGTCTAAATATGTAATCATGTAGAAGTGTCATTGGATGCTAAGCTAGAATGTAATGCAGTTTTTATACAGATCACGGGATCATATTCTAGTGTGAGCCACAAATTACAAGCTTTGAGGCCATCTGGTTTAGAATGAAGACTTGGGGATTTGTTGAAAGAATTAATGATGTACTTAGATTAGGGACCTTGTAGGAGAAAAGGAAGAAAGGAGAACAGCAAGTTAGAATAGGTTTGAGCAGCAAAGCAGACGCCCCTGAGGAAACTGCTTTCTGCTTATGACTAATTCTCTCATGATTCCCAGGTTTTCAAGTATTCTCTGGGTTTCCAAGGGCAGAATGGGTTCTGGCAGCTACATAGTAGTTTTGCTATTGAAAGACCACGTTAATCTGCTGTTAGACCTCTAGTTGATGTGCATGGGGCATAGGATTAGACAGGGTCAGAATTTGTGCAAAATTTACCTCTGTAGCTAGTTTTACAGAATACTGTGTTTCACTTTTGTTTTCTTTTTGAAAAGTTTATGAGAGAGACTGGTTTCTGCTGTTTGCTTTTGTATATAGCTTCATTAGTTTTCTGTATACCTATCAAAATTATTATTAGCTTGTGTGACTGGTTTTCAGTTTTATTAAGTTGCATAATAATTTTCTTCTAGGCAAAGAGCAATCAATGAACAGTGAAGAGATATGTTGAAAGAACTCTGTAGAAACAAAGATTTCCACAAGGGTATCAAATTTGATTAGCCAATACAAAGTGTAAAATGTATGGTTTAGATTTTTTACCTAAATTCTTTGGCATAACTTTGTGGTACACCTACAGCCTTTTTTCTGAGGCATTTAATTCTTAAACACAGGAGTCTTGGGGTAAAATGCTTGCAAGTTCTCAGAAACCTGGAATAATGTAAAATTTATATAAGATAACCACCTTACTGTTTTTCTCATTAAATATGAAGAGCAATTTTTTTCTTCAAAAGCTTTTTCTAAACTAATATTTAGCTACTTTATAATTTTTTAGTACAGAACAAGGAAAAACTTCAAAAATCTTTGTATTCAAAGTAGTTTGGTGCACAACCAAAAATCCTAATTTTATGGCTTTGGATAATGGATGTGCTGTGTCTTCTCTCTGACTCATGATCACTGGGTGAATGACCCATTGTACAGTGTTTTTACTTAAGACTCAGCTGGTCCTAATTGGTCTTAGCTGTCAAATGTGTAAGTCCTGATGTAGAGCTACACTTAACCTCTCGCTCCCTGGCCCCCTTCTCTCTCTCTTTCTCCATCTCAAATCCCTAGGTGGTGTCGCCTGCCTCTGGTGGGACCCTATTCAACGGTTACTCTTCTCTGGAGCATCTGACAACAGCATCATCATGTGGGACATTGGAGGAAGGAAAGGCCGGACGCTCTTGCTTCAGGGCCATCAGTGCGTGACCGTTCATGGGAGTGGGGAAAGAGTCTGCATTTGTGGAGACCCAGGGCAAAACATTAGTATTCTGATACTACTTTTTCCAAGGAAAGAGTCTGCATTTGTGGAGACCCAGGGCAAAACATTAGTATTCTGATACTACTTTTTCAAATCTTATCTTTTCAGAGAGCAGTTTGATAGGGTTCAGTTCACGTTTAACCGTTTTCTGTCAGTCCCGAGTGTCTGGTGTTCAGCAGGGTTTTCTTCCTTTTTAGTCTTCAGAGCACTTATCGCTTTGCTCTCCCCAAGAGTCACCCCATTGAGACATGCACTTAAGGCAGGTGTGGGTTGGGAACTGCAGGTGAGGACTTTGACCACGGAAAGTTGCGTGTCATGCGATACTCAGGGATTTTTTAACTGAGAGCCTAACTTGTTTTTTTAAATTCTAAGAGGTATTTCATTAAAAACTAATGTATGTTTTGACTCAGTCTTATTTGCCTAAGCGATGACATTGTAATAGTTAGGCTCTTGCCTTCTGGTCTTGAAAGGAAAAGGAACACCCGCTTCAGCCCCTTTTCCTGTCTTCGTTGTTGGTTAGTCTGTGTACTGTAATCACAGTCAAGTTGGTAATCAGCCAATGTTCTGTAAAAAGTCAGCAGGCCAGGAGATTGTTTCCTTAGGCATCCAGAGGAGTAGTCTGACAAGCATGCAGGAAGGAGGTAGATTTCTTCACCCCATCTGTGTGTGTGCGTGTGTATGCATGTGCGTGTGCATGTGCGTGTGCATGTGCGCATGCATGTGTGTATGCTTCTAGTGACCTCCGTGGTGCTTCACTACTTGTTCGTGTGAATTGTGTTCCAGTGAGGGAGTGACACTTCCTTTATTCTTCTTTGTTTCTGCACAAGTAGCTAAATCTTGTTGCATCTGAAAGAGAAATGATGGTGATTGATCCAGAAAACCATAGTCCTCACCTCATCTCTGACCTGTAATTCTTAATGACTGATTTGAAAGTAGTAGTATTTATTTTATAGACTATGATTTGTTGTAATAACTTATATAATGCCAAGTAGAGTTTAACTAGAACCCATATTACCATACCAAATAGTCAGTGTAAACTGCCACTTGCTAATTCTAATGAGGGGAGAAATTTGAGCCTAAATGAAGACAGTTTCTCATATGTTTTTCTGCACTGAGACAAGTGACTGTTGTCTGTGCTATTTGCAGTGACAGGGTGCAGTCGCTGTGTTACCTGCAGCTCACGAGGCAGCTCGTCTCCTGTTCCTCGGATGGTGGAATTGCAGTATGGAACATGGATGTTAGCAGAGAAGAGGTAAGAGGCAAGAGCTTATCAAGGCTGATAAGAGGAGGTCCCCAAGAAATTGTCTTCTGGGTTTCCCATCCTGTGGGCCATGAATGCCGGCTGAGCTGCGGACAGCCCCAGCTCCTCACACTTCTGCTTGTGGATCATTGTGTGATGAAGTCCTGCATGATATTTTGCACCGCATCCTCTACTCATTTGAGAGTTTCCACCAAAGAGGAGCAATATATACAGACAGCATTTAGGCTGATTCTCGGCCTTGAGACATACACTGAAGGACACTTTGAGACAGGCAGTCTTCCTGCATACCCAGATATTTGGATTGCCCAGAGGCCCTGTGGAGTGCCATTGTGGTCCCAGAGCATGCCTGTGTGGAAACCCTGAGAAGTGCACCAGTGATTCCCATCAGGGACATAACTCAGTGCTTGACATTTTTCCAGGAAAATGTTTTATTTCTCTGCTTTTATTTTCCACTGAGTTCTATTCCAGTGAGTTCGTTTTTGAGATACTGTTCTTTTCAGGTGACCTGATTTCTCACTTGTTTGGGCCACTAACTAGTTGTGAGACCTTGTTTAGATAAGTGCCCTAATTTTTCTGAGTGTCCGTTTTCTCTTCCATAGAGTGAAATTCTGGAATGAGATGACTTTTAAGGTCTCTTCCAGTTCTCAGTTCTTTATACAGACACTCTGTCTAAACAATTTCTCTTATTTTTCTTTCTTTCTTTCTTTTTTTTTTTTTT